TCATGGGTGAAGTTGCACTGGGTGATAATTCTATGAAAAATTGCACTTCTTTTACAAAAATTGTTGAATGCCTCCAAAAAAGAGTACAAAAACAAATTTTTTAAGGTCTGGAAAGAGAATGATTTGTCAACTCCCAATGTTCTACTTACAAAGAGAATCAATGGCTAATTTAAAGAATAATTTAGGGCAGTGGTTCCCAAATTTGTGCGTTAGAATCACCAAGGGATCTTTAGAAAAATTCCTAAACCCAAGCCACAGTTGTTGTTTGTAACGCTTTCCAGGTGATTCCAATGTACAGATATGTCTGAGAACTCCTGATTGAGAGTTTAGAAGTAACTAGAGGGCTTGTCATCCATGCCTAAAAGAAGGGAACTTCAAGGGGGTGAGATGTGCAAGTTTGTGCCTTGATGCTTGGGGGCACTTCTCATCCTTCGGAAGGCTAAGGGTGGCAGAGAGCTACAGCCTTAGTGGCTTGAGATGTCAAGGACAGAGTTGGGGCTGGCAGAGCAGATGGAAAGTTAGGAGAGGAATCCTGGAAAGGAAGGAGCTGCACAAGGAACAAACCTCAAACTTAGAATTGAAATTCTGTCCAAATCCTTGGTCAGCTTGCGCAGGGAGATCCCAGGGCGTCCACAGAAAGGCAGTGGCGGGAAGAACTGACTGGAGATCTGAGCTCCTCTCTGCTGCAGCGGAGACAGGAACTGAGGCCAATCCAGCCAAATGAACTGGCTGCCAGAACAAAAATGAACATTCTCCAGAGGAATGCAGCAGAATCCAGAGTCCTTACTAACGTGTCATCCATAATGTCCAACATATAGTAAAAAAATCACCAGACAAGCAAAATAGTGGTAATGTGTGACGCCTATTGCCGCAAAATGCAGTCAGACATTTAAGGAAGCCATTAGAAATAGCTTAGAAGGAAACATACTCATAATTAATAAACTGAAGGGGAATCTCAGCAGAGAAATAGCAATGATATAAAAAGAACCAACTGGGAATTCTGCATGTGAAAAATACTCTAACTGATATCAAAATTCACCAGATGGCCTCAAGGGCACCTTACAGACAGCAAGAGTTAGGGGACTAAAAATTAAGACAAATTATCCAATCTGAGGGAAAGGAACAAGATGAAAGAAAAACAGGGCCTCAGAGACACGCAGGACAATCTCAGGTAACGTACTATAAATCTACTGGAGTTCTGGGAGAGGAGAAAACAGAAAAAAAGTTTTTTTGAAGAAATAATGGCCAAAATTCCCCAAATTTGGTATAAAACAAAACAAAACATAAACCCACAGATCCAAGCTCAACAAACCCCAGGCAGGATAAATACAAGTGTACCTCGGCACATCGTAGCCAAACTGCTGAAATACAGAGATGAAAGAGCCAGAGAAAGACACTGCATGTAGGAAAACAGTGACACAAGTGACAACCGGTGTCTCATCAGGAACAATGGAGGCCAGGCAATAAATGAACGCCTTTCAAGTGATAGGAAAAACCCAGAATTCTATTTTTAGTGACACTATCCTTCAAAGATGAAAGTAAAATAAGTCATTTTCAATGACCCAAAATAGAGTAGTCCCCAGCAGGCCTGCACAGTGCTCAAGAAAATTCAAGCTGAAATGACTTGCCTCTTGGATGCACAGGGAAAGAAGAGCATCAGAAATGGTAAATGTCTAGCAAATGTAAAAGACTGTCTGCAGGCGCACCTTGTTTTATTGCACTTCGTTTTATGCAGATGTTGTGTTTTTTACAAATTGAAGGTTTGTGGCCTCCTTGTGTCACAGCACGTGCTCACTTCGTGTCTCTGTGTCACATCCTCACAGTATTTCAGTCCGTTTCATTTTTATTTGTTACAGTGATCTGTAATCAGTGATCTTTGATGTTATTAAGTATTGCAAAAAGATAATGACTTGCTGAAGGCTCAGTTGATGGGTAGCATTTTTTTTTGCAAATAAAGTATTTTTAAATTAAGGTATGTACAGGTTTTTGTACACTTAATATACACAGTATGATGTAAACATAATTTTTATATGCACTGTGAAACCAAAAACCTTGTGACTCACTTTATTGCGATGTTCCCTTCATTGTGGTGGTCTGGAACCAAATCCACGGTATCTCCAAGGCATGCCTGTATACGTTTTCTTTTCTCTTGATTAAAAAAAGAGACACATGCCTGTTTAAAAGAAAAATTTTAACATTGTACTGCTGGATTTATCAGGTAGATAGCTGTTACATATGAAAAACAAAAAAAGGAGAATAAATGGAACTATACTGTTGCGAGGTTCTGCATTTTGTATGAGGCTATATTTTAATCCCCCGAACAACCATTAAAAACAATAGTTTATAAGCCAACAGAAAAAAAAATTTTTTTTACTTGAAATATTCTACTTACCAGAAAGAAGGCAGGAAAAGAGAAACCCAGGGAGGAAAAAGCCCAAACGGTAAACTGAATCCAAACATATCAATAGTTACATTAAATGAAAGTCACACACCAAGTAAAAGGCAGAGATTTTTAGGCCAGATAAAAATTTAAGACCCAACTACATGGTGTCTTAAAGAGATGAACTTTAAACACCAATTAAGTTAAAAATAAACAAACGAAAAAAGATACAGCGTGCAAATACTAAGTATAAAAGTCATTTCTATCTGACTTCAATTTGAATACTTTTTTACATGTGCTTTTCCAATTATATTCATTACACACCAGTTATTCATCAAGCAGGATGTATTTGAGGTGTTTTATTTTTTTAACCTCTGGGTTTCATCGATCCTTGACATTTTTCTTTTAAATCACTCATGGCTCCCTCCTCCCCACTTCTAGTATGATTAATGAAATGTCGTATCAAGGGAAGCCTTTCAGGGTTTGCCGGCCTCCCTTATCTGTCCTCAAAGAATCCCAGCCTTTGATCAAGCTATTAAAGCAAGTAATGATTCTTAATCACCTTTTTTTTTTCATTTTTGTTTTAGCCCTTTTATACACCTTATTTCATTTTTGGTTTTGTCTGTTTCTGTGACTCTGAGGGGGGGCCAGTCCACCAGGGGCTGACGGGTCCTTCAAAGTTGCCCCATCACAGGCCAGAGCACCACATTCTCCTCCCTCGCCTTTCTTCCACCTCTTGGTTGTCCTCAGCAGTTTTTCTCTTCCATTTAAAACATCTTTTGAGTTTAGCTGTTTCTACAGCAGGGACTTTCTAAACAGGATTTCAAAATTAGACAAACTGAAGTTTGGAAGAATTTTTCTATATTCTTTAAACAATAGTGACGCTCTAACGCTCCCTCAGACTTAGACAAATCGTAGCTGGGGCAGGGCTGGAAAGAACATGGCTGTAATAACACCGAAACCTCATACTAAGCATGACTACAAAGAATGGTTTTGTGGCATGTGACATGTTGGCTCAACCACGTAAGTGAAAGGAACACCACCAGTTCCCTCCCGGCCTTCCCGGCTTCACAGCAAATCGTCCGAGCCGGCGGACAACACGTGTGTGTGGCACCACTTCTCACACATGGTGACCTCAGAAAATAAACCTAAGACGCCGACAATCCCACAGGAGACAGAACCCTACTGTTTTCATCACTTTAGAAAGTGTTTGGAAAGACGGTTTTGAATGTAAAGGCCAACTGTACATCTGAACAAAAATTATTTTGAGGGTCACATGCACGGGAGCAGTAGGAGGACTGCTTACTCCTGCAAACCTGAGCTGTCCTCAGGTGCCCGAGAACTTCCTTTCCAACACCGGTTGTATCTTAAAATATGCAGGACAGCTCACCAAGGGATTCAGCGGTGAGCTAAACACCAATGGAAGTGATTCATTTCCATCTGTCATGCAGTTTTAAGTAAAGATTTAAGGGCCTGCTCTGCCTCCTATCAAGAGTAAATATCACACATCCTGTTTATACAGACTGGCTTGTCCACAGTTCTTCAAAGAGCTGGTGACACCCCCCAACTCACACTCCACCCCACCCCCAACTTCCTGCTCATTGGGGTGCTATATTCCTACTCATTTTTAAGAAGCATCTCCCTCAACAAAATACTCTGCATTACAGTCATTTTTAAAGAAAATACTTTATTACGTCATGAAAAAAAATGCATCAATCAACTAGATTCATACCTGTTTGGGAAAAAACTGAGAATTTATTACACAGTATGTGGGCATCCTGTTCCACACGGGAATGAGAAGATGCTATAGGTTCTCTAAGTATTGCACAGTCTGAAAAAAACACCAACCAAAAAAAAAAAAGAGGGAAGGGGGGGGAAATCACATGATCTTGGGAACCATGTCACATTATGAATAATCTACCAAGAAACATTTAAAAAAGAAAACCCTTTGTTTCTACAGTAGCTTTGAGTTTATAGTTCTTGGAATGACTATATTCCATTGAAGACATCTCAGTAACAGGAAGCTTCATTTTAGCAATCCCATGTGCAAATATTAATAAAAAAATATATAAAATAATGCAATTCATCTCTTGCCATCACCCCGGCAATCATAACATCTTTGAGAACTGTTTTGCTTGAAAAAGGGGTTAAGCCGTTAGTTTGGCCTGAAGCTCCATCTCTGCAGCCCGTTTGAGTGCAACGTCTACAAGAAGCTGAAAGCCACTGAAGTCTTGGTTGAGGTCCGGCGGAGTCGGGGGAGGAGTGTTGAAAAGACCACTCTGTGTATTTGTACTTGGTCCGGATTTACACGAGTCCTCCGGGTACATGAGGGAGGTGTCTGTGAAGCTGCCGGCTGCTATCTGCTGTATATCTGTGTTTTGTCCCACGCCAACTGGCTGGCAGAGAGAGAAAGGCACATCTTTCAGCGCAGTCACAGTGGTATGACAGATCACTGATGGACGAGCCAAAATTGATCCCGGGGATGATGGCTTGGGAGACAGGGGCCTCCCCAGGGCTGGGTTTGGTCCAGCTGTACAGGAATGAAACGCGCTCTCCTCCAGAGCCGGTGCGAAGGCTCTGAGAGCCACCGCTGACTCTACAGAACCGGCTTCAGCAGTCTTGGCCCCACGGCGGGAAATCGTGAACTGATTTGGATCTTTGCCATCCTTTCTCAGCATGTCCGGGAGGAGCCTGCGACGGGCGTTGATGAACCAGTTACAGACCTGAAATCACACGGGGATGCTTTAACCCTCTGCAAACACGGCCGAGAACCTTCTCAGGGACGCCTGGCTGCTCTCTCTCTCTGCATTAAAGAAGCCATGGGAAGGCTTATCGGAACCTACAAAGTTATCTCAAGGTATCTGAGTCCAGCCAAGAAAAGAGAGCTGCTTCCTGTCATAAACCTTCCTCTTCTAATACAAATTCCCTTTTTTTGGTCTCTCACCATCCTTAAAACTTTTCAGGAGGAAGAAAGAGAAAAAAAAAAAAGGCAGACATGCTCAAATGTCTGAAAATGACTTTAGAGGGAAGTTTACCTGTTAACTCTCCCCACGTTAACCTGTTATCTGCGGCCCCAGCATCTAAGTTAATCAACTACAGGAAAACCTTTCCTGGATGAAAAGGGCCACTCCTCCCAGTTACTGATTTTTCCCAGTTCAAATGGCTGTGTCAACAGACAGAACACGAATTACCTCACTGAAGCCTGTTCTTGTTTAAACATCAAACCAGTTTCCTGGGCAATAGAGTAAGATTTAACCTTCTTTTTATGTGCGTTGCATAAAGGCAGACTCTTTTAGGCGTTAGAGGAAATGCTATTTGACAGATGACTGTCAAGAGTTTCTGTTTCTTTATCTAGCCAGTTATTAACTGTTAGCACTGTAAAGTTTACAAGAAAAAGATACCCCCCCTTTTGAGTGGGGAGGTGCTTAATGACTTGCTGTACAGGAATGCTATAAAATGACTTTGGGGGGAAAGCCGCCCCCCCGCTGTGCAGAGCTGGTGCTCCTCTCCCTCACCTGTAGTGTCGATAGGTGTGTTTGCTGGGACAGGAACGCTTTCTCTTGCTCGGAGGGGTAGGCGTTGTACCGGTGCTCATACAGCCAGTCTCGGAGGATCTGAACGGACTCCTTGGGCAGATTGCCCCTTCGCCTTCTCTTGCCTGAGCCAGCGGAAGAGGAGAGGTCCAGGGGGCTGTCCATGCTGTCATCATCCTCCGTCTCACTGCCGGACGCGGCAACGACACCTAGGAGAGGACAAAGACCAGCCGTCAACTGCATTTATCAGCAGAGCACCTACTGCAAAGCCCATCTCTTGATCACTGAGCACAACTGTGTGTTCTCAACTCCCAAGAGTGAACGAAGGACCGCTGTTTTCTGTCCTGAAACACCAGAGCTCATGTGAAATTTCAAGAGTAGCTCAACCAGCAGCAGATTCTAGATTCTCAGCCCACCGTCAGATTCCTTTTCGGACCCACTTTCGTCTAGGATTCAGCGTCTCACATTCCTTTTGAATGATGCTCAGGAAGTCTAATCCAGCAGGTGAGACAAAGCTGCACCCAAAGCGAGGAACTGGCCACGTGTGAAACAGGAAAGGTGCTCCAGCAGACGGATGTGTCCGACAACCTGTCTGTGAGGTCACCGCTAACTAGGAGAAGCAGTCCGATAGCCATCCTAATGTACATTTAAAGCGCTGTTCTTCCTCCTTTTTCCATGGAAGGTTTTGAAATAAAAGGGAAGATTTGTACATTTTTTCCACTGCTGTAAGGCAGGAAAATTACACACTTAACCCAGTTAGTTTTCTACAGATGAATGTATGCCAACATTTTCTGCCAGTTCCTTTTCTTTTACTTTTCATTGCTACCCCCATTTACTCAAAACTAGAGCCCTACTTCTAAGGGACAGTACATCACCTTTTACAAAATACAACCACTGAAGTTCTGTTTCATTACACAAAAATATTTTTCTACTATCACTACTTTAGTAAGAGGTCAAAAGATGCCTAATACTGAATAAATTTTAAAATTTCCATAAACTTCAACTGCCAAGTTTAATCTGAACCTAGAACTCCATATCAATAAGCAGAGCTCAGCCTTACATTATTACATGACAAAGAAAGCTGAATATGCAACCCCCAGAGGGAACTCTGTTTGTAAGTACTTTAATCCTACCAGAAATTTAAAAAATTCACAAGCCATAGAGAATATTTAAATCACACATAGACTGGGTTCCACAAAAATTAAACATAATTTTGAACTTTAAAAAACTTTAGCAAATGCTATAAATCCCCCTACTTTCAGAACTATAGTAGGCTACTCCGACTAAAGAAACACACGCTCATTTTTGAAGACAAATTTGAGGTTTTTTAAAATGAATTAAAAACCATAGCATGTTTGAAAATACCAGTATTTTTATATAAAGGAATTTAATTAAAGTGGCGTGAAACCTAAAGGTAGGCATTCTTAGCTTTGTTGACAGGCCTCAAGCGGCTTACTATGATAGGAAATAAAAATGGAATTTTCCATGGTGATAAACCATTCAATGTATTTTAAAGGAATTTTTCTAAAAACCCATCCTTTTGAAGCATCTTAACACATTGAAACTCAAAAAGCTACTGATTCAAAGATTTGTTCATGAGATAACTGTCAGTTAACTGAGTCTCTTACTTAGTGACACATTTTCAGTTTTGGACTGCAGGGGGCAGAAGGGGCCGGAGGGAGTGTCCACAGAAAAGGCAGAACTTCTAAAGACAAAGTAAAGCAAGTTCTAACAAAAGAGCAGGATGATTTTGCAAATTCACTTCAGCTCAAGGCTTAATGAACAAACAGCCATCAATATGAGGCCCAGGAACCCTAAGTTGTAACCACTGCCACATATTTGATGCTTCTCTAACCCAGAAGTTTTCATTACACTGCTTTTTAAAAAAGTTTCTAAAAAAGGAGGCACATTTAAAACTGAAAGTGCCTTCACTGTTGAGAAGATGAGAAACTTTTAAAATTCATATTGAAATCTGGGTGAAGAGCAATTAATAAATTTTAAAAACTGAAGGAAGTATAAATGTTCCTGTTTTACATTTGCTGATAAAAAAATCTTAACTTCTAAAAACATGTCAAGTAATTGAATTAACTAAAGCAACACTGAATAAAGCAGTTTGTTCAAAATCTCTGAAATGCTAGACATCCTTCCCAAGGCTTTTAATTCCCCTCCCTCCTTTAAATCTGGAAACAGTGTGAAAACGTGCTCATTGAACAGTGAATTCCCAACTGTAAACTGATAATAAAGAGTTTGAAACAAACAAAAAAGCCATGAAGCCTGCCCTTTGATCTGCTTACTTAGTTTGACAAGAAGCCTGATCTTTCAAAATAGGTTACTGACACAAAAGCAGATTCCAGTTAAGCAACACCCAACTGCAGTGCGACTTTACTCAGTTCTCAGTTCATTTAAATAAATGAGTGCCAGGCCTCTGGACCACTTAACAAAAGGTTTCCAATATGCGCACAAAAGCTTAAGTAACAGGAAGTTAAGACTTCAGTTCCTTGGCTGCACCAGCTGTTTCACTGCAGCAACCACACTTGCTGCTGTCAGGGCTGTTTTCATGAAAACTCTCCCTCCGGATTGTGGCTCAGCTTGGAAAAACAAAAAGACTTTTCCACGTTACTCATTTCCTATTGTAACAGAGCTTTTGAACACTTTCCCGGTTACGACTTGTTTCCAAACGTCTTGCTTTGCTCACACTTTAAAAAATGTGGGGGGGGGATGAGGGAGGTTCGGGGATCACAAGCCTCTTTTACTCCATCCACATACAAGGAAATGTTGTTTAGAAAGCCACAAGATGGCCTATGAATCCCACAGCCCTAAAAAGCAATTTTCTTTTTCTTAATAGGAACCGGGGGAGGAGGAAAGAATGGTTGTGAAGTTTGACTTTTAAAAAAAATCTAGAAGAGGCTAGAAAAGGACCTGGGAATAAGAATAGAAGGAAACGTTTAAGCGTGCAATTAGGGAAAAAGCGAACCTAACCTGACAAGTTTTCTGAACAGAACACCTCAGGAGAAGCGACAGGAATCGTGCTTCACACCGCAGGCGCTAAATCCCAGGAGCGCTGGGCTGACCCAGGCACAGCAATTCTAAAGCAAGAATTCCAGTCAGAAACCGGGAGCAAAAAGAGACTTCGGGGATTTTCCTCAACGCATTTTCTGCTTCTTTTAAAGTCATTTGGGGAAATCCTTTTGGCATCCTCAGCCTTCTAAGACGAGACACTGTTATCACAGAACAGTCTTAACAAATCCCCAGCTCCGCGATTGAGTTTTAAGTGCTTTTGTTTTTAACAAAACTTGGAAAGATTGTCACAGACTTTTACAGAACAGAGAGACAATGGTCCAAC